CTCGGCTGGCGCTGACGACGCCCGGGTCACTAACCCAATTGTCACATTCCGCGTTGCCACTTAAACGAAGAGGGCGACTCGCGCCAAGGCGGTCGCACCAAGTGACAGCTCAATCCTATTGAGGTCCAGCAAAGTGAATGCGTAGCGGCGTAGCGCTTGATTGGTTCGTTTAGCGCCGTCCGCGCCCAGCGTGTGTGGAATCTGGAAGGGGCAGGAAACAAGTTGACGCCTCGCGGCCCCGGCGTCGTCATCGCTCGCTCAACGGAGTGTCGTCGACTGAGTGCCGAGTGTCCTCTTTCCCATTAATTGTTCCGAAATAGCCTAGCTTGAATGGTTCAAATGTGCACAGGGGGAAGCAGACGCTCTTCCAGCATGAAAGATCATAGCGTTACATGCCAAGGCAGTCCTTGCAGTAAGCAGCACCATGGTGCATATAACTATAGAAATATGAAGACATTGTCATCTGGAAACGGGTAGGCGTGGCCGAGGGACGGAGGATCCATGCGAATTACGGAGACGGCCACCCAGAGGTTGTAATAACCTTTAGGTCAAGTGGATCGGCGGGCTAAGTAGGGCAGATGAATGGCGGGCCGGTAGCACGGTGCGGTGGGAGCGGCGGGAGCGGCGGGAGCGGCGTCTAGTGCGGAAGGGTGCCCCATCCTGCTCCCGCCCGGCCCCACCGTACTCCCCTCCTTGTCCCACGTCCCCTGGATCACTCACTCACTCCCACAGAGCGAGGGAGGGAGAGAGAGGGCGCGGTGCAGTAAAATGGAGAGAAGGGGGAGGGGCAGGGAGAAAGATGACATAAGCGCGCGCGCAAGGTCGCCAAAGCTGCTGCTGGGTGTCAGTGCGGAGCGAGGCGGAGTCGGGCGTACCAAAAAACTGGCCGACCGGCCGCACTCAGAAAAGGGTGTATTTTAATGTATAACATTGCAAAAGTACTCGTTGCAAGGCAAACTTGACATGGAGTTCGCGGGTTCATCTCTGATTTGACATACGAGCTTGCAACAATACAAGGTGTCAGAATTGTGATTACTTGTGCATCGATCGCCTTTGAATCAGAGCAATATTGAACTTTCAGTGAGTTCAGCAGAGTCCAGTAGTACATTGGCATTGATACAAAGTATACCCAACATCAATCGACTTATCAAAACTGGCGGCAACTAACTAACACTGGCAAGGAAATCTGTTATCTTTAACGGAACGGTAAACTTTCTGCCTTATCGGGCAAGGGCGACTGTCAATAGAAGCATTCTCACCCAAAAATGATATCCACCCCTTGTTCTTCCGCAGGTTCGGGTCACACCAGAGGCCGCCGCCGTTGTGGCCCCGGGACGGTGGCGGGACGCCCTGGCCCCGCTCATGCCCCCAGGGCGCCATCCCCGCCAGGCACGCCAGCACCGGGACGGAGACCGGGGCGTGTCCCAGAGCATGGAGACCGGGGCAATCCGACTGGAGGTGGCGACCGCTGGCCATGCTCCTGCTCATGGGCAGGCTGCTGCCGGCCGGCGCCGTCCCCGGCCCCGCCGCCCCCGCGTCACCGGGGCTAGGGGCAGGGGCGGGGCTAGGGGCCACCCTCGGCTACATGTCGACGCTGCCCCCGCCGCCCCCGCTGCCCAGCTACCGCTCCGTGGTCGGCAGCGTACCCCAGGTGAGTTATTATTTGGTCGCGGACCATCCCGGGAGGAGGCGAGTGATGCCGGACACCTTCGAGAAGCCCCCGCCCCGCGGCGCACGCCAGGAACAGCTGCATGACCTCGCGATCGATTTCGCAGAACAGGCGCGCGTCGTGTTATCTGGGGAGGGGGAGGAGGCTGCTCGGGGAGCAGCTGGGCGCGCGGGAGAAATATGCATTCCGACGCATTGGCTGTATTAAGCGCGGGGCGGGGGCCGCCGTATGGAGGATATGCAGAAATAAATTCAAACCGGCAACGCGCCCGAGAGAAAGAGAGAGACTGAGAGCGCTAAGTGAGAGGGGGGAGGGTGGGGAGAGTGCGAGAGACTGTTAGTCCGGTCTGGTCGTAAAGTGGTGCAGACACCAGCAGCATGTGGCTCTGGCGGCTGGGCCCTCTGCTCTGCTCACAGCGCGAGAGAGCAGCCTGCTGCATGTGGTGTGTGAGTGTGTGTGTGTGTGCCGCATGGAGCCGCACTACACAACACTGTATACGCCGCCACAAAGCGGTTTTATTTTTGTTCGGGGGGAGGGAGGAGGGGAGGGGGTATCTGCCCTGCATAAATGACGCTTTGTGACGAGCCCGCGCATCCTCTCGCGCTGCAGCGATGGGACCCCGTCGAGCCTCGGGCCGCGCCACCGAGCATAGGAAACAGGAATTTGTGCCCGCAACAACATTTCACGTTTAAAATAGACACAACAGAAACCTTATTGGTTGGAGGTACAAAAGAAATTGTCGAGAGGGAACCGAAATTAGGTTGCCACAACTAATACCTATAGGACAACGAATGCATTGGTTCGCATTTATAAGTGAGGGGTTTGCTCTCCGTTCCTACCAGTTTGTTGTCCTTGCTAAGTGGCAGTAGAATAATAAAATTAATGTTCGTTACCGCATCAAACACGAGAACAAGCCTCTTACTGCCCGTCCGCACTATCTTATCCAGAGAGGCTGCTCTAGTAAGGTTCTCTAACCTCTAGGATGCTCAATCAAACTGAGCGCGTAAACAAAAACGTTATTTGTAGTTGCAAATTATTTTTTTCCGTTGAGCTCCACATGAGACTAAGAGCCAAAAGTGTGATGTGTTTTGAGAGCCTGGTGAGCCTACTGATCGACAAGCTGGACAAGTTGGGCGAGAAGGTCCAGGCGCAGGGGACGACCCTGGACAAGCTGGATGAGAAGCTTCAGGCACAAGTGTCAACCTTGTGGGAGATCCGCTACCGCATGGACAGTCTGGAGCGACGCCTAGGCGAACTGGACAGCAAAGTTGATCGCCAAGACCGGCACGTCGGTGAGGTCGACACATCCATCGGGCGGCGGTTCGACAAATTGTCGGAGGTGGGTAATGTTAAAATCAGCGCAAAAATAGCGCCAATTAAACTGAACTAAAAAACGTCACAGCGACAAGTACTTTTATTCTTGTGGTTTTGCTAACCCCCAGGCCATAGCTGCCCACGACCACAAGGACAGCAGCGCGAAGGAGCAACTGGTGCGCAAGGTGGACAACGCGTACGAGCGCATCGTCTACATGGAGAACAACAGCATTAGCAAGATCCAGGCCACCACGGGGGCGATCATGGACAAGGCGACGACGCTCGAAGCCGTGGGCCAGGTCGCCGGGCGCGTCCGGGACGCACTGGCGGCCGAGTTGGGCGCGGTGCACGCCAAGGTCAACGCCACGCACGACCACATCCTGGTTGGTACTCCCGCATTATGACCACCTCCCCTTCCCGTCCCAAACACTCCATGAAAGGACTTCCAGCACAATTTTAACAGCTCTATTAGGAACTTCTTTCGCTCGGGGAGTATCGAACGTCCGCACGGGCTGTCCATACTCGCCCCAGCCCCGCCCACCCACAGGGTAGAGGGCCTGTGAGAGCGACACCTCAGTCTGCCCCCTAGAACGCATCCAGAGCCGTCGCGCCTCAGGACGACGCCGACGAGTCCGAGGCCGGGAGGAAAGCGTGCGTGGACGCTAGCGAGACGGCCACCAAGACCCTCAAGCAGCACATCGACGCCAAGGCGGATCTCATGTCCAACAAGGTAAGCGCCTAAACCCGAGCTGATTCTGAGCTCATGCCCCCCCCC